CCTATGGGGTGTACTAGGGATGGAATTCTTCCTGAACACTTTGCAAAAAATATAACAGATTTTCAAACCAAAACTAAGGCTACGGTTTACATCACAATGTATAATGAAGTGTCTACTAGAGTGATAAGAGGCGGACTTAGTCATCTCGAACTTATGAACAGACTCACAGAACTCGTCACAGAACACAACACCAAATTAAAAGTGCAAAAACCAACAGACCATCCGTTAGCACAATCCGCGGGTACCTCCATCTCCCCTTCTTCACTCATGGATGCGGAAGACAGTGAAGATGAAGTCATGCTATTGACCTCCTACAATTCATCTGCGGCAACCTCATCCACACCTATCACCTGTACTCCGACATCCCCGCTACAGGAAAAAACTACTCCAGTGGCAGCGAGGGACACACACCATATGGAAAGTTTTTCAGGTTTTTCAACCCATGCTTTGCCTTCAATAAATTTAGCAGTTCAATGTAATTCACTAGGAAATAATGTAACTGATGGTAAATCCACTTCAACTGATACAAGTAATGTACCTTTTTTAGAAAATTTTGTAAAACCCGTAGTAAATGCAAATTGAAACAATGTAATAGAAAAAATAACGATAGTCCTTTAGATACTGCTTGTTTTAAAGATAATAAAAATGTTTGGTTGATGCATTTTAACATACAGGGTGGTATAACATTCAAGATTAATATGTTAAACATTTTTTTAGAAAATACAAACATTGATATTGTGTGCTTAAATGAGCATTTTCTGGATACAGCTAATGTTAAGCTCCTGAATACATTGGTAAATTATAAACTAGCAACATACTTTTGTAGATCACAGGGTACTCATGGTGGTACATGTATTCTTATTCGGCATAATTTAGCTTTTTTAAACAGAGATGATTTAAATATTTATTTTGAAGAAGCTGTGTTTGAGGGTTGTGCAATAGAAATACCTAGCCTAAGAAGTATTGTAATATCATTATATCGTACACCAGATAGGGCTAATATTAACAATTTTCTCTGTAAATTAGAAGCTTTGCTATTGTTGCTAAGAAAAGAACTAAAAAAAAAACAAATTTATATCGCTTTAGATTTTAATGTTGATACATTAGATAACTGTAGGTACCCTACTCACAAAGATTCGTTTCTTAACATAATTAGGCAATTTGGATTTAAGGAAACTTTTTTTGAGCCAACACGGATAACACCTACAACTAATACCTGTATAGATAATGTATTAATTAATATGAAAGTTGAACAACACCAAACTTTAAATATGGAATTAGGAGTATCTGACCACAGAGCTTTATTTATTACATTAGATAGTAATATTGAATTTAGTGGTGACTCTGTTAATTTTAAGAAACTAAGCTATAGTAGGTCTTTTTCAGCCAAAAAAATTGATCAGTTTGTGGCTACTTTAAATGAGGAAAATTGGAATTTTAGTGAAAATAATTCAGTTCAATGTAATTTTAATGATTTTTTTTCTAGATTTAAGATGATTTTCGAGAACCATTTTCCACTAAAAACTTGTAAAGCAGGACACCGAAAAAACAACAGAAAAAAATGGGTAAATTCAGAGATTAGAGAATTAAGTGTTAGAAACAGAGAATTGCAAGCCTTAGCAAAACAATCTGATAACCATGCCTTTAAAGAGTATTGTAAAGTTTTTAAGAAAAACTTCAAAGCTGTCTGTTCTAGGGCAAAAAGAAATGCAAACACCTCTTTTATAGAGAAAGCAGACGATAAAAGTAAGGCAGTGTGGTCAGTTGTTAATGGAGAATTAGGTTTAAAGGCAACTCAAGAAAATAACTTTTCAGACATTGTTTTCCAAAATAAGTGTTTAAAAGATGGAAATAAAATAGCTGATATTTTTAACAATAAATTTACTGACATTTGTTTAGAGAATGAGATTTCACCATCAAGTGAAATGGCAGTTAGATTTGCAATGAAAAATAATGAGTGGAGTCAAAGTTTACCAGTTTTTCACTTCAGTCCAGTAGATGAAAACCATGTTAATAAAATAATCAAATCATTGAAGAACAAGCGATCTTCAGGATGGGATGAGGTTCCTTTGTTTTTATTGAAAAAGATTGCCAATCAAGTTTCAAAACCATTAACAAACATTATAAATCAGTCACTCATTTCTGGAATATTACCTTACCAAATTAAATATGCAGAAATAAAACCATTGTTTAAAAAAGGAAGTAAATTGGATATTGACAATTATCGGCCAGTGTCCTTGCTTCCTGCATTTTCAAAGGTTTTTGAAAAAATAGCTAATAAACAAATCTTATCATTTTTTGAAGACAATAATTTATTTATCAAGGAACAATATGGATTTAGAGAAAATAAGAGCACAGTTTTAGCAATAGCAGATTTAATCAGGTGTGTATCGGAGGGCTTGGATGGATCGCAGACCACAGCTGGTGTGTTCTGCGATCTATCCAAGGCTTTTGACTGTGTGGTACATGATATTCTTCTTGATAAGTTAAAAGTTTACAACTTCTCTTCTTCCGCATTATCTTGGGTTAAGTGTTACCTATCTGGTAGACACCACAGAACTGTTATAAAAAAAAAATGATATGGTTTTTAAATCTGAATGGAGGAAAGGAACGCGGGGCGTGCCCCAGGGCTCGATTCTTGGTCCTATTCTGTTTTTAATCTATATAAACGATTTAGCACAAAATTTTGATTTCAAAATTGTTCTGTATGCAGATGATGCTACAGCCATTCTTAAATCAAACAACATTTTAGATTTACAGCAAATTATTCAGAATTCCCTAACAGATTTGCAAGTGTGGTTCAAGGCCAATGGTCTTAAATTAAATAGTAGCAAAACTAATGTAATCAATTTTAGCACTACACGAAGACAGGAACAAAATCTTAATCAAATAATATTAAATGATGATCACCTTCCTATTGTAAAGTCAACAAAGTTCTTGGGTCTCGAGGTTGATGAAAAACTAAACTGGAAAACATATATTGATATTTTGATAAAAAAATTAAATTCCCTTTGTTTTCAAATGTTTGTTCTGCAAAAAATTACTGACTTACAGACGAGATTGATTGTATATCATGCATTGTTCGCTTCTTCAATGCAGTATGGTGTTGAACTTTGGGGAGGTAGTTCAGGTATGAAGTCTGTTTTTAAATTACAAAAAAAGTATCTTAGAATCATGACAAATTCTAAACCTAGAACATCCTGTAAATCTATTTTTAGGGAACTCAAAATTTTAACACTACCATCTATGTACATTAGTAAATGTCTGTTTTATGTCAAATCTAACTTTAATATGTTAATGGAAGATCAACACATTCACAATTATCAGACTAGGAACAGAAGTAATTTCCAGTTTCCTGTTCATAGATTAAGTTCCTTTGAAAAGTTGCCACAGTATTTTGGGAAAAAATTATATAATAAGCTACCAAACAGGATAAAAAATATTGATAATGATCATAAGTTTAAGAAAGAAGTTCAATCCCTGCTGCTAAACAAAGTATACTATTGTGTAAATGATTTCTTATGTGACACTTTGTAATATGATGTAAATATGTATATAAAATTAAGCCATTTGATTAAGTTTTTGCCAACATAACAATTGTATCATGTATATTTTGCTTTTAGTTTTTAAGATGTTGACATGTCACCTGTTTTACCAGCTGTGCTGGGGAGGAAAATGTATTGTGACAAATAAAGAATCTGAATCTGAATCTGAATCTGAACCGCATAAGTCAGATGAGGGTAAACAAGCCCATAATAGGCTGATAATAGGACATCAGTGGTGGCTGATTGGCTGAGAACTCTCAGCATGAATATACCCACCGATACTTTCTTGCTGATATGATCGATTTGGCTGTGGAATTTGAGGTTTTCGTCAAGGACAAGACCGAGGAATTTTACTTCTGAAGAAGGGGTGATAGTGGTATCGTCGAGGAGAATGTTCAAGTCATAGTGGGACCGTTTTGACCTCTTAGAAATGGAAAACTAGACGATTTGGGTTTTTTGAGTGTTCAAGATGATGTCATTTTCTTCACACCACTGAAGAAGGGAGTTTGATTCCAGAAAGGTGACAAGTTCCAGTTTCTCCATACTTAGTCTGGACACATTTTCCAAAATAAACTTATCACACACTTTTTAAATAAGCTCTATATTTCGGCATAAGCCTTCTTCAGGAACAAACAATAAGAATAACAAGTCTGGACACAGTTAGGGATGTCGACAAAATGTTTTTTCTCTTTAAGGGTCAATTTCATGATTTGTACTCTATTTGGTTATAAAACCAGAAGATGATTTTTTCTTATAAGTAAATCGTTTTATTTGGTTTGACTATTTCTGAAATAAGTAAATACGAAAAAAAAAATACTTTCCTACATAAATTGGACAGGAAAAGGCAAAACTATCTTCAGCTGATCTACAAGAAAAGGCATTAAATCAATAAGGAACGATGTTAATTTTATGGCTACTCATACTGGAGATATACCATATTTGAGAAATACATTCAGGCCATGAATGCAGCAAGTTGACTTCGCAAGCCATCTGCATTCATTAATTCCTTGCAAGTGTTTTAAAAGCATTCTTTGCTAGCTTGAGAAAAACATTCAGTGCAGTTTGCAGCAATAAATCTTTGCAAGTCATCTGCATTCATTCCCTGCAAGTGTTTTGCAAGTATTCCTTGCAACCTTGCATAAAACATCCAGCGAAACTTTTCAGGAAGTCTGAGATGGGGTTACTTTTATACTTTCGAAACAAGCGTGTTACAAATGAAAATGTTTGCAATGCAATGCATGCTTGCTGCCAACATCTTGGGTTGCCTTTGAAAGTTTATTACGAACTTACTGAAAGCTTTCTGTGCTATCTGGGTATGAATTACAGTGCATGAAGACTTGTATTAATTTTAATAAGTTAAGTAGTAAATAATTAGTTGGTTATTGGATTAACGTTAGGGAGGTACCTGAGTTTTCATAGTCTGGTAAATTATTAACAAATATTTAATATTTTCAGTGTTACCAAAGCTATGAAGAGTTTGTAAGAGATCTGAGCTACTATCGCAGCAAGCAACGTCTCGAGGTGAAACAGTCTCGGATGAAAATACAAATGGAAAAAGTGGACAAAGACAACTTTTTGTCTTCAGCTGTTCTGCCCCCTGAAACTCAGCAGAAGGTTAGTCTATTTTTTGGAGAATTAATTAACGTTTAGATTTGATAAAAACAATTTTTATATTATATACATAATATATTACTATTTTATATAAAGACTTCTCTAAGCTAAGCTGATGGATGACTTCTTCTTCCCTTCTTTTGTTTGATCTCCAGAATAGTGATGGGATAATCGAATACTTTTGAGAATTCGAATTTGAATACTTAAAATTATTCAAACAATTATTTGAATACTTGTATTCGAATACTTTTATAGCAATATGGTGTAAATAAACCAATATGGCAATTTCAATTTTACCAAGTCTAGTTTTGTAAATCAAGTGTAGCCATTCATGTATAAATACATTTAAATGAAAATAAATGTAGTTCAGTTATCCTCTAACATAAATAGGTTATATTTCAAACAAACTAAAACCCAAATTAAATCAATTATTTTTCACTCTCCTTCAATTAGGTAATGAATAATTTAATATTGTGAAATAACTAGACAAAAGTATTCATTATAAATTTAGTGAGAAGTGTATTTCAATTTTAAAACAGTGTGATTCATTATTTCATTGAATTATTTTATAAAATAATTAATAAATGCTGGTAGTGTCAAATTTAACATTTTAATGAGACAATTAATTGATCCCTCCTGAGTCGGGTACTGTGAAGATCCCATTTAAAGTAAGTACACGTAAGTTGTTGTTGTGAAGTGAATTAAGCATAAAGGTATTCATAACACTAGTATTCAGTGTATTCGAACTCGGAACACATCGGCCAAATTCGAATTCATTCATTCTGGCTATTCGAACTAGATTGGTTTGACTTCAAAGTATTATTGAACCCGGCCGAATGTCAGTATTCGAATACAGCCAGAAGTATTTGAATCTTTGAATACCTTGGTTGTATTTGAATAAGTATTCAATTCTGTATTCGAATGCCCCATCACTACTCCAGAATGTAGCTTGGTGATTAGTAGCATGTAGCATGTAAAAATAATTGTTATCCAAATAAATCCTTTAATTCTACTCTGTGTTGGGGTTATTCAAAAACCTATAAATAGTAAAAGTCTAAATTTAGTTTGACCAGTAAAGTGTTGAATATTAAGTGTGAATTTTTTTGCGAATATAAGGTTTTACCTATCATGGCCTTCACCTAAATAAAAAAGGTAAGGAACTGTTATGGAACATCATTGCTCTTCATGTAACAATCAAGCTGCACAATTCTTCAAACGGATCAACATTTGTAACCAGCAAAGTTAGACATTCACCAGCGTCAGACAGAGTAAAAGAAAATGAGTTGGAGCATGAAGAGATCTGTGAGGCCCAGACTGACAACAGAGGCAGCAGCCTGTGCCAGACTCCACAACTCGTCCATGGACCAGATATTGTCAGCACACCCTTCCTCGGCTTCTCCACTTCAGACATCATGAGCCAAGACAATTTAAAAAACATCAGAAACAAAACAAATCCAAAAATAACCTAGGTGGGTCACTGACAGAGTTAGTTTTAAATGTTTTATTTTGGAATGTTCAAGGAATAGGAAATAAAATTGATGTTATAGAGCATTTTCTCCATACTAATGATGTAAATGTATTATGTATAGCAGAACACTGGTTAAATAAGGATGAAATGAAAATGTTAAATATAAATAATTTTAGTCACATTAATTCTTTCTGTAGATCTAATATGTCAAAAGGAGGCTGTGCAATTTTTACTAAGTATATAGATAATGTTAAAACTTTAGAAAATGTAAATAAGTTATCATCTGAACATGTTTGTGAAATATCCACTGCATATTTTTTATCACAAAAGTTGGTTTGTATTTGTATTTACAGACCAAACGAAAAATATCTTAAGGAATTTTTAAATATTTTGTTTGAGTGTTTAATGTTAGTAAATAAGCTTAATGTTGATATTATTCTATGTGGTGATTTTAATGTGGATTTCCTTGATATTGACTGTAATCAACGAAAAGAAGTAACTAATACATTTAATGCTTTTAATCTACATTTGGTTACATTAGAAATCACTAGGCCTAATATGAGAAAAGGTAAAATTGTCAAACTTGGAACTTGTATTGATAACATTGCAACCAACATTCACAGAGATAACAGGACTGGTTGTGTTGTTCCCACCCTTGTATCAGATCACTATGCAATTATGTTATCTACTAGATTACATTCCAGGTGTATGAATGGGCAAAATAGTTTTAAGATCTCACGGCCCATTAATAAAATGAGTGGTGTTTTATTATGTTCAAATTTAAGTAAAGTAAATTGGCTTAGTGTTTATTCATTAGAAACATTAAATGAGAAATTTGACCTGTTTTTGAATATTTTTTTAAGTGTTTTAGATTTTACAATGCCAATCAAATTGGTAGCAGATAAGAGTAGTGAGGATAAATATGACAACCGTTGGTATACAAATGAATTGCAGTGTTTGAAACAAAAATGTATTGAGTTTTTGGATGAATTTAAAATGACAGGTAATAAAACATGCAAAGAGGAATATAAGATAACTGAAAGAACATACAGAAAACTTATTAAAGAAGCAAAAGTAAATTACAACTCAAACAAAATATCTACAGCAAAGAATAAGTCGAAAGAAATGTGGAGTATAATAAATAAAAAAGTTAGTGTCAATAGAAAAAGCAAAAGTAAAAATTCTCTCGACCCTCAATCTTTAAATAACCATTTCTTAGACTCTGTAAATAATTTGATTAATAATTTATCTACATCGAACAAATCTTCTGAGGTCTATATTAATGTGTTGAGGGGTATGGACACAATGACAGATATTAGTTTTAAATTAAAACCATTTTCTGTTGAACAGGTATTTGAGAAAATTAATAGGCTAAGTAGTAGTAGATGTCTAGATGTTTATGGATTAAACTCAGATATTATGAAAATGGCTGCAGTGTATATAGTTGAAGTACTAACTTATTTATTTAATCTTTGTATTGTTGAGGGTATATATCCTGATTGTTTAAAATGTGTTAAAGTAATTCCTGTACATAAAACCGGTGATAGATTAGATTTAAATAACTATAGACCCATCAGTATTATTCCTGTTATTAGTAAAGTTTTTGAAAGTTTGATAAATGACCAAGTTGTATCGTATTTTGAAGGAAATGATCTATTTAATTTTAGTCAATTTGGTTTTAGAGCAAATAGAGGAACTAAAGATGCAGTTCAGAATCTAATTTCTTATTGTTTAGATGAGTTAGAAATGCAAAATAATGTTTCGTTGAAATTTTATGATATGAAAAAAGCTTTTGACACTGTGTCCCATGATCTACTACTACAAAAACTTGCCTTTTATAAGTTTGAAGAAAATACTTTAACATTTTTTTAATCATATCTGTATAAAAGATATCAAAGTGTTTATTGCAATGGTGTTTTTTCTGATTATAAAGAGGTGTTACATGGTGTCCCACAGGGCTCAATTTTGGGCCCAGTATGCTTCATCATTTACATTAATGATTTGCCTAAAAATATTCTAAACCTCAATGTTAAGCCTTATCTTTTTGCAGATGATTTAGCAATACAAATTCAAAGTGAGAATTTGCTAAATTCAACAGTAATGGCATACAAAGCAGATAGCTTAATCGAAGACTGGTGTAAGGCCAATAAATTGTTTTTAAATGTAGAAAAAACTAAAGATTTATGTATTAGTTTTAATAATAGGCATAATAAAAAATGTGTAAAATTTTAGGTGTTTTTTATAGAATCTAACTTAAAGTGGAAAGTTCATATTGATTATACGGCTAAAAAACTTAACAAAGGAATATTTATAATAAACATGCTTAAGAACAGTGTAGATTTTAATACCTTGAAATGCATTTACTATGCACATATACATTCTAATCTAAGTTATGGAACAATTGTATGGGGAGGTAGTAATTATAAAAAAAAACTTTTGTCATTGCAAAAACGAGCAATAAAAATCATGTACAATGTTGATTTTAGAACACACTGTAAACCATTATTTAGGGAGGCTAATATTTTAACTTTACAAGCAATGTATATTTTAGACTGCCTTGTGTTTGCAAAAAATAGTTTTAGTAAAACAGACACACATGAAAATGTACACAGTTACAACACACGAAACCGCTGCAATTTTATATCTAGACAGTGTCGATACAGCACCACAGCTACTAGTTTTATTGAAAAATCCAAACAGTATTATAATATGTTACCTAATAGAATAAGATGTTTTAATTGTTTTAAATTTAAATTAGTACTTAAAAACTACCTGTTAAACCTGTGTCCATATAGAGAAATAGACTTTATAAACGATGTTAAATTAAACCTTAGTTAAAACCTTTAGTTCTAAGACATTTCCTTGACTGTGCCATGCATGTAAACCAGTGTAACGGCAATAAAGCATTCTTATTCTTATTCTTATTCTTATTCTTATTCTTATTCTTATTCTTATTCTTACCTCAAACCACGATGGTGACATTACAAGCCCCATAAGCATTAAAATCCAAACCTTAGTGGCAACGTGTTTGAAAATTGAAAAAGGTTCACACACCGGTTTACCCTTTATTTTGGCTCCGAAAAGATGCCTAAGTTAAACAAAAAATCGCTATATTGCTGACCACTATATAGGTGATGTGGCTTTAGAAGTGTACAACACTTTCTTGTTTAATGAGTCAAATCCTCCGTTCTTGGTCTTTCAATTACTCTTCCAAACCTTGATTTGAGTAAGCTATGGATGTCCAAAGGACAGTTTGATAGTTTGTTTTGAATAAATGGTTCGGGCTTACCATCGGATAGGTGAGCGATAAATTAAATCTGTCCAATCAAAACCTAATCTTTCTGTTTCTATATATACTAGATAAAAACAAGGTGTCTGTCTCTGTATTATCTCTCCATCAAGCTTAAATGCTTGAACAAACTATCAAAAAAATGTGCACAAAGACTGTGTATCCAGAATCATTAATGGTCTATTACCATTAAACATCGACTTAAGACTCGGCCTCTTGGGCTTTAAAAGTTCTGATGTACAACTGTTGGGAAGTAGATATTGATTGGTCTTTGTGAAAACAATGAGATACTTTTATGGTTACATTTTTTTGTGTCTAAGTTTCTGAAATTATATTTATTATTTCACACTTTCAATATTATCTGAGTAAAGCTACTCTGGTGCACCATTCCATTTGCATTATGGAAAATCTGTTTCACTTGATAATTAGAGCTGTTGCTGTAATTAGTTTTCTAAAGAATCGTTGTTATGTCTATGAACATATCTCGTTGCAAAGCATGAGTAAAACTAGCAGTAGTACAATATTTGTGTATACACCAAAACAATAAACTCACATATTCTATTGTTGCTGGCAGGGTAACTACACGTTTGGTAAACAAAACATTTGATTGAAACTTTTTTTTAATTTAAAAGGGATTAGTTTGAAATATTTTTTGCCAGAACAGTATTTTATCCTTAGCTGAGCTTTTGATTTTCCAATTTAAATAGGTGATTAAAGTTTTTATTTGTTGAATTTTACAGATCAGGCTACAACTGGCTAACGGCACACACATGGATTGTTTGCCGCAGAAGGAACCCAAGGAGCAGAAGTTTTGTTACAACTTACCAGAAAGAGAAGGAAAAAACGCTGCATTATTCCCAGATAATCGCAACCCTTACCATTCAGAGTATAGAGGCCAGCTTATCTATTTGCAAAACAAATACAACTTGAGAAACACCAATAAAACACATTATGAACCGTCCTTCAAAGAAAAAGATGATGCTGCACGTAAAATTCAAAAAGCCTACAGGCAATACTCTTCAAGGAAACTCAGTTCCGCTTTAATGGACGATGCGGCTAGAAAAATTCAGAAAGCTTACCGACAGTATTCATCGAGGAAACTCTCGAAAGATGTTTATTGTGACATGAAAATGAGTAAAAATGTACCCAGACAGGCTAGGTCTGATCCTTCTCTCCCATCAAGACTTATTAGATCTTCCACACACTTTTCAGGGTGAGCAAACATATTTCAGTGTAGATTTTAGTATCTTATGTTGTAGTACCTTCTAGTTCTACATGTCGAAAAAATGTTTTACGCCACACTACATTATTTTGACGAACTTCCCACGCAAGGATTTAGTCCAGAAAACAGCTGTTTGCCGCCAGCTTATTCAAATGGGGTTTCATTGCGTAATACTGTTCTGCAATGAGTTTTACCGGACACCAATCAGCTGATTATACTGTATTTGCGTGGCAATGATTGGTTATAAACAAAAACATAACCTCTCTTAGAGGTTATGACTGGTGATGTTTAGTCCTTTAGTTGGTTGAAATATATAAGGATTCGTACGAATTAAGTAGTATGGCGTAAACTATCGTACGTAACTCGTCCAAAATGTGTGTACCGGACTCTTATGGTAATCCCGTACTCGACTTCGTCTCGCACGGGAACGACCACACTCGTCCGGTAAACACTTATTTTCAGGACTAGTAACGTAATATACTATTGTGGAACACATTCACAAATAATTTAATACTTTAATTTAAAAATTTAATCTGAAATGCGACCATAGAAAGGTAGGTATTTTAAGCCAAGATCTTTAATGGAGTGTAAGATGAGTGACGCGATCTTGTAGTCTTGTTACTGACTAAGGCCATGTTGACCAAGTCAGACACAAGACAAGACTAACAATAATGTTGTTCCTTAGACAGGACTGTTAATAGCCCTTAAAGCCAATGGCAACTAAAGGACCTACAGCTTATAACTTAATGGAATCCCTACCACATTTTGCTTTGTAATTTACAAATTGGTCTAATTATCAGGATAGTACTGCGAATAGTTGTAGTGTGCTCACTAGTGTGGATGTTATTCCACACCAGGGAGTATCGAATCCACAGATCATGCCTATAAATATCCACAATTTCACAAGAATGGATTTGTTAGAGGATTTTTACTAGAATTAGTTTAGAATTAGAATTATTAGAATTATTTTTGGCTAGAATTAAACATGTTATTTTGTGTATACAGTATTAATATTTTCTTTATGACATTAAGGTACAATATTACATTGGGAGTTGTTGAACCACTTTTATGGTCCTGACCTAAAATCTCACACATGAACTTATCACTCACTTTTTCTTTTTCCCTTGAAATTGAAGAGAAAGAAAATTTACATGTGCCTTTCTGAACAAAAAAATATTACAAACGTTAAGTTTCTTTTATACATTCTTAGGTACTGTTGAGGCTGAGATCGTTTGAGTGAAGCACAGGGGTAAACAAATTAAACTTGCTTATATTTTAACAATCCACATTATTTTGTATCATAGAAAAATACTAAAAATTACTATTCCCAAAGATACAATTTTTTAGGAAGAATGTCGACAATCAACTTCCTCTACGTTTGGAAAAAGAGACTGTTTTTCTTTTTGGAGGGAAAACCCCATATGCCAATGATCCTTGGGAATCTTCTATCTTGTTCTATCACCCAGAATACAACGAATGGAGGCGGTGCGGGGTGATGCCGGAGCCAATACATTATCACAGCATTACCTACTTCCAGGAGAGAATATATATTGCAGGTAACTGCAAGAACCATCCCGAAATGACTTTTCTACAGATATGGTCACTGTACAAACATTATTGTCACTGTAAATATATCTGTAAAGAGATAGTATATTTCATTGCTGGTGCCTGAAGTGGCTCTTTTTGACAAGACCTCTGGTTTAACACATAAAGTGTAACCAATGAAGGGTTAAAAACCATGGCCATAGCAAGAGAAAAAAACCATAGCTTCGTGGATCGCATTCACGGACGCCGCAACAAGGCTCCTCGCCGCAGGAAAACCCAATTTTCTGTTAAATTTTTGGGAATAATTCTGGGATTCTTCTTCTTTATAGGGGTTTTTAATGGCTAAAGTCGATAGATAGATTTATTCTAAGCTTTAAACATTTTCCTTTAGATGTGGCAAACCATCCATTCCTACCTTTATTATTAACTAATTTTTCATGTGGCTATAAAATATTTCGGTATTGGAAGAAACAGTTGAAAAGCTAAAAATAGATATACCTTGTGTGTTTGTATCCTATGAATACAATAAGTTATTTGTGTAACTAGTGTGTGAAGTGGCTTTTTGCTGCACACAGAGTTTAGGCACGAGCCACAGGCAAGTGTGGAAAGTTTCACGAGTTACAAAAGCGCTTGTGTTACACATTATATTTTTCCTACAGTTACTATAAAGCATAGAAATAATTAGTCTTTCAAACACCTAACAACACGTTTTAGGTTAGGTTAAATCCAAGCGTTGAGCAAAATGGGAAACACTGCACCAGCTGATGGTAGTCGTTTTGTTGCCAAACTTATTTTCAAGCATACACGTATTACTTGTACAGTTGAACCTCGTTTGTACGAACCTCGATAAAACAAATTCCTCGATAAGACGAATTTTTTTAAATCCCCTTGACACTTTCATATAGGTCAATGCTAAAAACACCTCTATACAACGTAGTAATTAAGTTAAAAACCTCCATAAGACGAATTTGTTTGTGATATGGGCTAGGACTGATTAACCTCTATACAACGAATATTCTTGGGACAAAACCTCTACAAGACGAACGTGACCTCTATAAGACGAATTTATCATAATCTTAACCTCCATAGTACGTAGTTTTCAAAACAAACAGAAGCTTGTCTCAACATGAAACCCCCACCCATCCCTCCTCCTTCCTCAGTCATTGTTTGGAGAAACCTTGGAGCGAGGAGAAACCTCTATAAGAAGAAGAACAGCAGCATTAAACCTCGATAAAACGACCCTCTTTATTAAGAATACCTCTATAGTACGAATTTTTCCCGTACCCCTTGAAATTCGTCTTGTAGAGGTTCAACTGTACCTAAAAAAATAACACTTTTTTGTGTTGTTTGGTTGAAATACTAGAGTGCGGCAAAAGGAAACAAGTGCGGCAAAAGTAAGTAAATGCAGCAATTAGTTACTTTCCGTGCTATAATCAGTACAAGAAAGCCCGCTTTGTCAGGTTAAGAGGTAACTGTAGGAAAAAATAATTGTCTCTGTCTTCATCTTTTGCAGCACCCGTAGCAATAAAGTTTCACCAAGTTACTTTTTAATTGTTTTTGTTGTTTTTATCTACCAAGCACCTCCTTTTATTTCTTTGTGATCAGGAGGTAGACATCCATCAAAGCATGAGTCTGAGCCAGGAGCCGTCAGCCGCAAAGTGTGGAGGTACGACCCTCACTACAAGACTTGGACTCGCATCAAAGACATGCTTCAGGCTCGTCAAAACTTTGGTCTCGTCGGCTGCAACAACAGACTCTACGCTATTGGCGGAAGAAATGAGAAGGAAATGTATGTTTTTCTTTTATAAATGCGGGTTTTCCTAGCTGCCAAAGAATGGCCTTGACACTCTTTGGCTGTGCCAAAGATTAACTCTAACTCAGCACTAATCATTTTAATTATTTGTTATAAATAAAAAAATGTAAAAATAATTTATTTGTTAAAAAATTTAATGTTTGCCGATACTGACCAGCTATTTTTCCTAATGGATTATTTATTTCTGCTTCCCAGAGGCATTGCAACTTTTTTTCTTCTGGCCTTGATTTAAATCACAAACAAACAAATGTTTTCTTTCACCCATTTTGACAAAACACCGCTAAATAAAGTGACGCTTTGTTGTGAAAATTAAAATAACCAGTAAAAAGTAACTGTTACAGCATAAAGTAGTTAAAAGTGGCGTCCATTTCAAAGATGCCCACCATCTGCTGTCTGCATACGCATTTTACTGAGAGACCGGTTTCATGACAGGTAACAAAATTTTATTCTTACTATTGTTTATTCTTATCGTTGATTTATCAATAAATGTTTGTTGTTGGTATAGTGCAATGTCGAAGGTAGAAAGGTTTGACTCAGGCTCCAACAGTTGGGTTTCTGTTGCGCCGATGCACGTGCCTCGCGCCGGAGCAGTTGTTAGTGAGTTCAGAGGCAAGATTTGGGTGGCTGGGGGTGTAATACTGAGAAGATCCACGAGTAGTGAGTGGACAGAGATAGCAACCAACAGAGTTGAGTACTACGACTGGGAGCAAAATATGTGAGTAGTACTGGCACTGGCACACAAAATTATTTAGATATACAATGGTACTCTCAAGTTTAAGATCACCAAGGGCACAATTAATGATAGATATCCAATTAATTGTGCTCTAAAGCCGGGTTCCCACAGGAGGTGAATTTTCGATTGTAAGCTCCCTTACTTAACCCATTGGGGAAGAAATTAATCCGCTACCTGCAGCACCCTCTGGCGGCAATTAATTTTACCGCATTTGTAGACTTTTACTTTAACTGCTATAGAAAGAAAACCTTAGGTAATAAATTAATAATTCTTTCACCATTTTGTTCACAGTAAAATTGTCTACAGAAATGTGTTAATTGGATAGTCAAAGTTCTAAACTAAAAAAATATATATATATAAAGATTATAAAAATAAAAATTTTCAGAACAATATTTTGAAAGTAAACTTGATATACAAATTCCAAGATTAATCCAGACACCAAATAACACTACTATTATAAAGGTCGATCGATTCCCTACGTAGAAACATCAAAAGTTGTGTACTTTTATAAGTAATAACTTTTTTTTAAAATTGTTTGTTTACCTTACCGCAGCTGATTTTTGGTGATATGTGGTTTCCATGGCAACACAAAATTGTTTGTTATTCGCTAAAATAAATGAGTAAATACGCAAATCAAGAAGCAAGATATTTATAAACATTATAATAGTAAGAAGAAACAAAAAGGGCGAAAAATAATAATAACTAAATAAAAAATGGCGCTGCCTAGCGGTGACACGAGCGGCTATCGTAAGTCGGCCTCCGGGCCTGCAGCGGCCGTACGAGTAACGCTCGTAAGTCGGCGCCAATGGGTTAAGCCTCACACTGTGGTGGGGATGGGAATACAACCTCCTGCTGTAATGTCTTAACACCTCCTGTCAGTAACACTTAATACAGCACATAGTTCTAATACAGAGTGGAAAAAAGCCCTAAATATTTCAAGAAGTAATAAAGATAGAGCATTAAAACTTGGTACATAGTTACTGGGTATTAAAATCATTTTACAAATTATTCAGTGATGCGCTACCTCAACAGGGGGAAGGCCTGCTAGGAGTCAGAAGAAATCTTAAATGTAAGTATAGGTTGATATGCATATCAAATTTAAGATCTTTGTTAGGTAAATACAACGCCGCAAACCCCATCCCAAACAGACAAATGAGTAAAATATGGCAACCGTTCAAAGATTTCTTGAATCTGCCATTTTTTATCTTTGAACGGCTGCCATTTTTTACTCAGTTGGTCTTTTGAGCTAAAGTTTGCGGCATTATATTCTACTAATAAAGACCTTTAATTCAATGTGCATATTGACCTATGCATACGTTTATGATTTTCTTCCGATTTCTAGCGGGCGCCCTACTGAGGAGGTGGCATATCACTGAATAGGCTACTGTGTAAAAATTATTTTAATGCCCAGCAACAGTGTACCAAGTTTTGAAGCTCTATCTTTATTAATTTCTGAAATATTTTACCGTCGTTGGACTTATTTCCACTCTGTATAGTTGTACCAAAGAAATTGTATCGAAAAACATTAAATAAGTTTCACAGGATGATCCATATACTCTACTGTTGAAAACATCCCTAATTTTCATTTGTACCTACAAAAATTGTTGCTTTTACTACAATTTTTGTTATACTTTTAAACTCGGAATAGCTTAACGTGGGTAAAATGTTGAATTACCCACACTAATGTTTTAAAAAGTAAAATAATATAGCATTAAAATCACAATCAACTTTAACTTACAAGTATAAATGTTACCTATTTAATGGATTTATTTTATGGTGTAAAAAAGACAGGATAATGCATATCAACTACCATTCTTTAGCAATGTGAGGTTTCAAGTAGATTAATACCTCTTAAGCTCTTGTCCACAAAAATAGTGCATGAAAGCATTCAAATTTCTCCATTCCTAGTTTCTATTACAAATGACTCCTTAAGGTACGAGGAATATATGAGTATGAATTAACACAAAGTAAGCTAAAAAGTTAAATTTAAGTAGTTGCATTTCACTCAACTTATTTATGACGTAAGGTGGTTTGAATGCTCCACATTGAGGTTCACGCTCGCCTACGGAGTAATGGTTCCAACAAACAACAAGATCTACATCGTGGGCGGAGCTATCGGACTGCAGAATTCCAGCCTTCGAGGCAGCGGGAAACAGGTGAATCACTTTGTAATCTGTAATTGTTAACTTGTCAATGGTCTTTGAAATCTTTATTTTATTTTGTAAATTATGTCACAACCAATTTTTTACAAATATGATCCTGCATAAAAAAAAAATTTACTCTTTGTCTTATGAGACCTAAACTTATGAATGAACACAATCAGATATTTCCAAAAATTTTAAAGGGTGAATTAAAGGTATTGTATACAAATATGTACACATTATTGTGCTACACTGTTATATTTTAATGATTTAATTAAAATGTTAAACAATTTCTTTGCAGATAGATGTTTGGGACGAGCAATCAAGGCTGTGGGGTAATGCAGATACAATGGGAAAACCTAGACATAACCATACTGCAGTCTCTATACGGGAGAGTCAAGGTAAATTGTTGGATTTTCAACTACAAATGCCTCATGTTGCCAAAAACAGTGATACAGTAGAACCCCACATATCCGACCATGACAGGACCAGGCCATGATCAGATATCGGGAGGAGCATAACCTGCAGTTTTCACGACTTGAAGAATTGTCTCCCGCAACCACGACAACACCCCTTAGCGTAACTCCGTGATGTAGTCTCCATGACATCAGCAATCGTCTCCCGTGACGGCGGCAACACCCGTTATCATGTGACAGAGTAGTGATTGTCTGCCGCGATTACGGCAACATCCACGATCGGCCTTTCGATTAACTGACGGTTTTTCTTTTAATACCGTAACTTGTTATAGCCAACATCCTCTCTTCTGAATACAAGCCCAGCCATTCTAATCCTTCTATATTTCCGACAAACTAAATTCAGGACAATTTAATTTGTAATGAACATTTTTTTCCAACAGTTTCTTTCTGTATAATTCAATCTTTCAGAGTTGTCAATCTATTTTTATTTTATAATACACATCTACTAAAGTTTTGGACAACATATGCTGATGGTTTGGGTCCGTTCCCAAAATTGGGTATTGTTTACCAGTAATCCTGTTTCTTGACTGAGTTCACACCAAAGTGGACTAGGGAGCCCAGTAAGTGCTTTCCTTTAATATTATAAATAGAAATGAAACAAATGCAATAGGTACTGAGGTTTATCTAAGAATCCCTGTTAATTTTAGACAAAATTTCTTGTAAATCGGTTAACGTTAATTTATGTTTATTTCGCAACAATAAAATGTGTTAACGTTGACCAATTTGCATGTAATTTCGTATGAAATAAACAGAAACCACAATGCAAAATTTTTTGTCGTACTTGTAATATTAAAGAAAATTATTTGTTGCTTTTGGGTTCCCTAGTACCCTTTGGTGTGAACTTAGTTGAAAGGCAGTAAAGGGCCGGCCGCTACACTGGGAAACCCCTGCTTAGGACACGGAACATTCGTTCAGCTGTCCAGAAGCCCAGAACTATATAAGAGTGTCAGCTGTATGTAATGTTCTATTAATAACTGTGTTATCTGTCTCATTGACTCCCTTTAACAATGTGGTCATGTTTCAGGTAACAGTAAATACATGTTCATCATGGGAGGGTTGAACACACAACATGAATGTGCTTTGGACACAGTCGAGTGCTGGAACATAGAGGTAAAAACACTGCTAACCATGGTCTACTCTCAATAATCTGACAATTCATAGTCCGGGCACTTAATCCATCATTTAGATGGATGAAACAATAACCAAAATATATATAGTACTGGAAATTGATTCATGTTGAGGTAGAGGAGTCCCAAATATTTTCAGTTGAGGTGTTCGATCCCATTGAGCAGTTTCTAGTCAGTGAATAGTCTGGTCCAAAATGTTTTTCCTACAGTCACCCGACAAAGTTGGCTTCCTTGTACTGTTTATAGTACAGAAAGCTGCTTGCTGCATATTTATAGTTTGCCGTACGGTTTATACTTTGTCGTAAGGTTTATACTTTGCCGCACATCAGGATTCCGACGAAACAACACAAAACAGTGTGGTTCTATTATGCACGTAATCCGTGTACGCTTGGAAATAGGTTGGCAATACTTAAAGATAATAATACTATGAGCAGCTGATTGACTATTAAAACTACGATTTAACCTGCCATTTTGTGTTTATAGTTTCGGTATTTCTGAACTTTCTGGACTTTTCTTTTAAACGTTTTTAAAACATTCCTATGATCTTAATAAACAAGAAAATACCTTTAAAGCTTTTTTTTAGGCGCGGAAACCACTTCAAATTACAAAAACATACGGAACTATATTCTCAAAACACGGAGCACATTTCTTGCTGAGGAAAAATAGCGGAGTGATACGTACCGGGTACTACTTTCTGTAGGGCACCTATTTGTGTTGCCAGCTGAACATAAAACAAGTTGTATAGTGTTTGAAAGACTAATTATTTATATGCTTTATAGTGACTGTAGGAAAAATATAATGTGTAACACGAGTGCAAAAGGCCTTTGCTGCACTCGAGATCGTTCCGTCATTCTCGTCAACATTGCTCTCGTGTGCAGCAAAGTGCCACTTTGCCCACCAGTTACACAAATAACTATTGACTTTTGACAGTCTACAGTACAAGTTAAATTGCAACTGTTAGTGAATTATCACTAAGTCATTGGGATCAGCATTGGTATTGGGATTGGGATCAGTTTCAGTTTGGGGTCATGAGTATTTACTAGTCATTGAAGTTTTGAAAATGATCACACCCTCTTTTAGTTCTCCCCCTCTGAATTATAAGATTAATACTGAGGTTGTCACTAGATTTTAAGGGAAGTGCTAGAAAATATTTTGAGAGTAGGCTGGATGAGTGTTTACACAAAGCTTAAACCTTTTTACTATTATTTTACTAATTTTGTTTATGTCTAACAGGAGGGGAAATGGATCATTGGAGTAGCTTCTCTTCCATCACCAATTTTTGGATCAGCAGCTCTTGTATTGCCAAGAAGAACCTTCAGTTAGACAAACCTGTGAAATTACACTGATTCGATTGAATTTAAACTTCAGCTGTTTGATGACAGAGTCTTAAGCTAATCATTGAGACAAGCCTAGGAATTTATTGTTATCCTAGGAGCACTTCCGACTTTGGTGGAGCTATGTTTGAGATTGGGTTTGAATTGTCCCACAATAAACACTAACTACCGTCAGAATATGTACAAAAATTCTAAATTGGATGTGTAAAAATAAAATTCATTTAAACTTATTCATAGCTAATTTATTTGATCCATCTAGGGTTATTTTCATTTCATTTCATTTCAATATCTTTATTCAACAATTGTACATTGTACATTGAATAGTGTCAGATTCCTAACCTAGTAAATAAAGTTATAAGCTAAAATTACAATTTATATAATACTAAGAAACTAAAAATAAAATCAGGTTAATTGGGGAAACACCTCTTTAATGGAGTAGGGAGCGATTTCTATGAGATAATTTTTTAATTTGTTTTTAAATTTGATTGAGTTGCCAATGGGTTTTAAATGATTTGGAAGAAACCGTAAAAATCTTCTTCCGGCACAGGTTGGCTTTTTATTTGAAAATAAAAGATGGTTGCGACTATTTTCTCTTAGGGCTTTTCCTCTTGTATTGTAGCATAATTGTGCGTTATCTGATATACTTTCTTTCGCTATTAGAGCAGTTTCAAAAATGTATTGGGCAAACACAGTTAATATTTTAAAAATTTTTGAAATGAATTTTAACACATTCATCATTTTTTAGTCCCATCATTGTTCTTAATGCCCTTTGCTGTAATTTTAAGATTCGATTAAGATTTTTCTTAGTTGTAGCTCCATATAAAGATATACAGTATGAAATGTGGCTATGGACAAGAGAATAATATATTGTTTTCAAAGTATTGATATTACATAGAAATGACATCTTTTTCAAAGCAAATATCCCTGAATTTATCTTTGAGCAAACATGATCGACGTGGTCCTGCCAGGATAGATGTTTATCAACTTTTAAACCTAAAAATCTATTTTTTCAACTTGTTTGATTTCATTGGAATCCAAAATAATCAACGGTTCTATTTTGTTTTTACATTGCTTAGTTGAAAATGATATAAAATAAGTTTTACTTTTGTTTATTTTGAGATTGTTGGATAGTAAATAATTTTTAATATTTGCAAGTTCTATAAAGGTATCTATTTCGATATGTTCTACTGTTTTTCCTGTAATTTTTAAGTTAATGTCATCAGCATATAAACACATATTTCCACAAGGTACACACGACAGAACATTTGGAATCTTATCAATGTAGCAAAGGAATAAAACAGGGCCTAGTATTGAACCCTGAGGGACACCAAAGTGATTAAGTTTTATTTCTGATCTGTTTTTTACCAGCCAATTATTTTTATTAGACATGATTTCAACGTATTGCTTTCTTTCCGATAAATATGATTTGAACCACGCCAAAATGTGACCTCTTACTCCCATATCTTCTAGTTTGAGTATTAGAGTTTGGTGACATACCCTATCAAAAGCCTTCGTAAGGTCCATTGATATTCCTATAACATTTTCGTGGCTATCAATTGAATTTATTATACTCTCAAAAAAACTTGAAGCAGCTGTAATTGTTGATCTGCCTGAGCGAAAACCATGTTGGCCACTAAATAGAAGGTTGTTATTTTCTATAAAAGACACTAGCCTAATTTTCATTGCCTTTTCAAATAATTTTGAAATAACTGGCAAAAGTGATATTGGTCGATAGTTTTCTACGCACTGAGGGTCCCCCTTTTTGAAAATAGGCACAACCTTAGCAACTTTTAATAATTTTGGAAAATGACCGGATATAAAAGATGAATTAATTAAATGAGTAAAAATTGGAACTAGTTCTTGTTTTGTATATTTTATTACTTTAACGGGAATTTCGTCGTGCCCACGTGAAGGTTTGTTACTTAAAGAGTTTATCAGTTTTTCTACTTCCTCACATGAAACAGGTTCACATCGAAATAATGTTTTAGATTTGACACAATTTGTTAGTACTGGCTGGTGATTATCTAACAATTTATTACAGTTTACAGAACCATTCTTTCCAGATAAACTTACAAAGTAGTAATTTAGTACATTAGATATTGCCCTGGGATCTGCAATAGTTGTTCCTTTGTACGCAATGGTCATGTCATTCACTAAGTTATTTTCTTTGTTACCTACTTCTTTATTTATAATTTTCCAGGTTGTTTTCATAACATTATCCGAGTTATTTATTTTTTTATCGTAGTGTAATCTTTTAGTTTTGTTTGCCGATTTTTTAAAAGTCTTCATTTTTGTTTTACAGAGGTTAGACAAGTTTTCGTCTTTTAATAATCTAGCTAATTTTGATGATTCCACGATTTTTTTGAATTCCTCCTTTAATGAATAAGTATACCACTCTTTACTGTTAGTTTGTTTCTTTATTACTTGTTTTGGAAATGCTGTGATAAAATGTGATTTGAAAATTTTATAAAATGTTTCGTATTTTTGTTCACAGTTTGCATTAAAAACTTCAAACCAGGACTCGTTTTGTAATGATATTTTGAAATTAATTAGATTTTCATCAGATAGGTTATAGTCTAAATACTTCAGTGACTCGTTTTTCCACGTTTTTTTGGTTAATTTATCAAGGGTTAAAATTTGAGCATCATGATCAGATAGATATGTAACCAGTCCCTCTATTTTTAGATTAGATTTGGGAATATTTGTCAAAAAGTTGTCTATTGCAGATTCCGAGGGCCCTACTACCCTTGTGGGAAAATCAACCAGATATTGCATTCCATGTCTAACTAGAACGGAGTTTAGATCCGTGGCATTCCTATCATTTCCTAATGTGTTAATATTTATGTCACCAGCCACTATAACATATTTATTCCTAGCTAGTACAATATCTAATAGCCCATGTAGCACAGATGGTTGGGCCAACGTTGGTAAATTGTGGAGCCACACAGTTGGCCAACGGTAGAAATGTCACCTCTTTAAACTGTTTTCCAGCCAACCATTGTCCAACAATGGCCCAACCATCCAAAAATACTGATGACCAACTAACCATAACACAACTGATATCCAACCAACCGTTTTATTTCACACAAAATAATAAAGATTTAGTACGAAAAGCATAATTATTAGTTGAGTAAATTGATTAAATAGTTCATAAAAACAAATTTTGAAAAAAAAGCTAGAACAAAATTTTTTGGCCCAGACGGGTCTCGATCCCGGGTCCTTCGACTTATCAGCCGAAGTACCTTACCTTACCACTGAGCTATCTGTGATTGTTGATATAGAGAGTTTTCAAGTGGTGAAAGAGTAGCCGACAGTTGCAATGGTCGCAATACTTCAAACATTTTTGAAACTACACAGTATAATATGATTCTGTTAAGGCATCATAAGTAGTTATTTTTTTTTTTTTGGAGTTAGAGAGGATACTGGTATTTGAATATAGATTAATTAATTACCGTTAGATTATTAATGCTATTATAATTGACTGTTATATGATTAATTACTCTTTCCCCTTAAATTGTTGGAAATAAGTTAAAGAATATTAATTTAAAAAATATTTGCATTATTATGTGACGGTGCAATTTCGTCCTGGGACAAAATTGTACTGTCGGCCTCGGATAGCTAAACTAATTGAGTTAGTCCAGGGTTAGTAGTAATAATACTAGTTAAGTTTTAAAATATGGGCTCAGATATGGTCGTTAAAGCATCAGCTTTCAGTGAATGACACATTCATCACTGCCCGGGTTAGGCCCTAATTTAAACAAATTAATAATTAGGCGTTAATTCCGTGAGTGAAACACTGGTCGTAATTAACTAAAATATTAACTTCGAAAATAAAAATAAAACCTCTACTTAATGGATATACCGTGTTTCACTTTAGGAATTAAAACCAATTATACTTACAATTAATTAACCGATTCGATTGTCGCGGGTCCACGAGCTATTTCGCCCTGGCCTAACACCTACTATTCGACGACACCAGAGTTATTTCACCACTGGCTAATTACCGGGCTATTCCGCCCTCGACCTATCGTCTCGTTATATCCGCGGGCCCGAGAGCTATTCCGCCCTCAGCCTAACCCTAGTATTCGTCGCTTCCAGGGTTATTCCACCACTGGTTATTACCGGGCTATTCCGCCCTCGCCCTACCAGGGAGATGTTGCTAGCTATTCGCCCAGCACTCAAGTCCGACTGGCCCGTGTCCTGCGCAGGTTTTATAGGAGTCGCGACGCTAGCGCAGTGCGTGGCCGCTCGGTGAACTAATGACTCTGCGCGGGCCATTTGAATTCGTACGAACGCTCGTTTTCTGATCTCGGTAAATTTTTACCGTTACAATTATAATTATTAAAATTCATTGTTGTAGCCCCGGAACTGTAATATATAAAATATCTGGTTTTACAATACCTTTATCAGTTCCAAAAACTTTTGGAACTAATAAAGGTATTGTAAAACCAGATATTTTATTATAATTATGTTGTGAAAGCTAGACCCAGAGAATGAAAGTAGTGTAAACTCAACTATGGACCATCGTTGGTCCAACAAAAGTATCTTTTGTTGGTCTAACGGAGTGAAAAACGGTTGGACAACGGTTGGCTTGATGTATGATACCCAGCAATGCATATTAATGTATTTCATTAACAATGAACCAATGTTGGTCCACAGTTGTAAATATTGGTTGGCCCAACTACGAGATATACAGTTGGACAACGGTTGGTTGGTTGTGGAAGCTCCAACCAACCATCGACCAACTGTCCCACAGTTGGCCAACGTTGGCCCAACCATCTGTGCTACATGGGAGCTTACTTAGCCTGTCTAAAAAAATTGGAACTTTAGAAATTGGTGATCTGTAAACTGCAACCAACAAGAATGATTCAGTATCATTTACTATCATTTTCTTTTTACATTTACATACCGGTGTTTTTACCTGTAAAATAAACCTTATAAGCATATTAATCTTCAAACATTAAATGTAACATAAAATGAGGTTACTAACCTGTCGTCAATCAATCCTCTATTGTCTTGGATGACTAGTTTCGGGGTTAAAACCCCATTTTCAAATCTCTTCAGTCTTCAAAAGTCAAACATATTTTCTTGCATAAGCCGTCGTCA